AGAATACTCTGGTCACATGATAAGAAACAAACCATTTAAATTATTACAACTGATTATGTTGGCTAAATACCCTTAGAAACACGTTTGGATACAGTTCAACATCATTGTTTAGAGCTTCCACAGCCAAAGGCAGAATACCCATAATGTTGTTTGACCTCCAGTAGAAGGAGAAGGAAGAGAAGAAGGAAAGGAAGATAAAGATACACAATGTAATGTAAAGTAATGGTGTATTGAGTTGTGCCATGATTTCCTGAGGGCCACTGTAATGGGCCTCAGCATAGCTACCCACACCTTAACTCCCATGGGTATTCAAGCTGAAGTCATGATGCCACATTGGTAGAATGTGGGAGTCTGGGCACTTTGCCATTGGTGCCAGATCTTATCCTGAGTTTTTTGTACATTTAGTTAGGTAATAAAACCCTGTAAGCTGAAGTCATGATGCCACATTGGTAGAGAAGGAGTCTGGGCACTTCGCCATTGGTGCCAGATCTTATCCTGAGGTTTTTTGTACATCTAGTTAGGTAATAAATCCCTGCTCTTCAAAATGCCTCATTAAGAAGAGCAGATAAGCACACAGAACTACAATATCTTTTCTTCTCCTGTGTTTTAGGGCAAATAATGTTGGCTTGTTTCTCTGCAAGTGTTATGCCAAGCCAAACCACTAATTTATTGAAAAGTCAGACTTTAACACTTTGGTTTTTTCATGCCCATTCTAGTCTAGACAATTTTTCTTTACATCACCAGCTTTCCAAACTGAAAGAGGAAGGATCTTAGTATGGGGTATCTGCCTTCTGTTTTACATCTCTACATACCATCCACACTCCATTTCAATTCATTTTCTTCTAGATGCAAGAGCTGGCTCACAGTTTCCAGGATAATTGTAAGTTTGAGCCATTGCTTCTTTTCTGTCAATGCAATCTTCTCCACTTCCAGAGTGACAGATCCAAGGTTCTCTGGGATTTAAAAAGAGACACAACAAAAATACTGCATATCATTCCAACTCCATAATTTCTGGCAGGTTGCTTTTAAATCATCCATGGGGCTGTAGTGAAAGTAGTCTTCTTTTCATTTACATGCAGCAGTTACAACTAAAGTCTTTCTGTTTCGTCTTTTGTGTTTCTTCAAATCTCACTTGCATTTTTCCTCTATCCTTATTTCTTTGCTGGCTATGAGAGTCTGCCTTTTCTTTTTGTAATGTGTGGTGTGTGGGGCCCCTCTCTCTCTCTCTCTCTCTCTCTCTCTCTCTCTCTCTCTCTCTCTCTCTCTCTCTGTGTGTGTGTGTGTGTGTGTGTGTGTGTTTGACTCCTTGCAACCTCACCAACGAGACTTAGAATTTGCTGAAGGTCTGCTTCAGGCACCTGTGGCTTCATTAGGTTTTTGATCATTGAAGTAGTAAATAGCAGTAATACTCGAGGTCTCAGCATTGGCCAAAGAGTATTTATGCACGCTTTTTCCATTGTATGTTAATTATATACATTTAATTGCACAGTTATGTGTGCATTTCATTTCTCCACAATGCTCTATAAGCCTCAAAATAAGCAAATCCTCAACCCTCAGGAGTTAGAAAAGATCTGCTTCTCTTAACACAATCAAATCCAGTTAATATTTTTTTTCCCGTCCTATTCTCTATTGGCGTAATGGTTTTGTTGTTGTTGTTACAATGAGCCCTTTTAGGAGGTAAATTTTGATTGAAAATACAATAACCAGTTAATAAAATAAGTGGATCCATTATGTACTTTCACCAGCTGAAATGTAAGAGGGCATTGGCATAAACAATATGTGCGGGTGTTTCCAGAGAAGATTTTGACTGTGGAATTGCTCTGCTTCATTTATTAACTGGGGAGGAGGGGGTTCCAGACTTTGTTGTCTTCTGAGTAATAATTACTGCAATGAGTACTTTTAAAGTTACAGTAAAAGCAGTGTAGCAGGTAGTTGCAAACTTGTTTTAGGAGTCAGTGAGGGATGTTCTCTAGTTACTTTCAGGCATCATTTTTAAATGATACTTTCAGAGGCATTGTGACAAGAATTTTTCAAGTTTATGCCATTCTTGGCAGTTCAGAGTGGCAAGGAAATTGTTATTTAGTTTTTGTCAGTAACCTATTTGAGAAACATGAGGTGAAAAGGCAATTGGGTAAGCATCCCTACACACACACATAAATCACCCAGCTGGGCATGTGCCAGAAAAGTGTGGGAGGCTTACACAACTGCCCTTCTGTTTTGTTGAAATAACCAGTAGCCATGTGATCAATAAAAATAAAATGCAAACACAAAAACAGGCAACAGCGTTATAGACGACTAAAAATTCATCATATAATACACGAGTATTGTGGATTTTTTTAAAATTCCATTAGGTTTGTACCAGTGTGGAGAACGCAAAGGCCAAAGGCTTGTGGCAAGGTGGATTTTTCCAGGAAAGTTACTCTTCAATGTAAAAACCAAAAGTTCTCGCCAAGATGGAATTCAGCAGGTATGTCCCTCTTAGATGTAAATCAGGAAATAGCATGGTTATTGTTTTATAGTTACAGCCGAAGCAGACACAACCTGTGTTTTTTTGCTTCAAGAACTGGGGGTTACACTCAATGCACAGCTGCCTCAGCTGTGAATTGAGTGTAACCCCCAGTTCTTGAAGCAAAAAAGCACAGGTTGTGTCTGTTCTGTGTTTCAGCAATAGTTGTCTTTTGTATACAGAAGATGCAAGATCAGAACTGGTCAGTAGAGGGAACCAGAAGATGTGTCCTTGTATTTGTCTGGCCTCCTGGTGAAAACAATACATCTCCTTAAGAACACCTAATATAACTAATCACTTGTGCATTTAAAGCAGTGATAACCATGACAGCAACTTGGCTGCCCTGAAGTCAAATATAATGCCACAAATTCCTTTGAAGAAAAAATAATGCTCCAAGCTGTAGGAGCAAGGTGGCTTACCTAAGAGATGGTGAAGTACTAATCCATCATATAGATCTTGTTCTAGGCTTCTCACAACAATGTGTTCATGTTTCAAAGTTCTGTTAATCCAGTCTATTAAGAACTGTGAGGAAAATAAATGTGTTCACCACAATATGGTATATTGTGTTGGTTTTAAAAAAAACATTCTTAGATGCAAAGGGAAAACTGGAAAAAGAACAAGAATTCATCCTAACTTTGTCCTAAATATTTATATCAAAATCTATGCAGGAAAGAATTGACATCTTACATATTGTATGGTAAACATTTATTTTGAGAGGTTTGCAAAGGTTAGGGATGAGCCACTCTTTTCAGCCAGATAGTTCTATAAAGTGCGCAATGTTTGTTTGTGTTTTGAGAGAGAAATAACACTGTGACATAGTCATGTGAAATAGAAAGTACACCCTCTTTGAATTCTATGGTTTTCTGTATAAAGGTATAATAAAAATCATCTGGTCCTTAGCAGGTCTGAAAATTAGATAAATACACCTCAGAGGAACAACAACACATGATATATTACACCATGTCATTATTTATTTTACAAAAGCCAAAATGGAAAAGCCATGTGTTTAAATAACTAAGTACATCTTATGATTCAATAGCTTTTAGAACCATTCATAGCAGCTATAACCTGAAGTAATCGTTTTCTGTATGACTTTATCAGTCTCTCACATCATTGGCGAAGAATTTTGGCCCACGTGTCTTTTCAATGTTGCTTCACTTTATTGAGGTTTGTGGACATTTGTTTATGCACAGCTCTCTGAAGATTCTGCCACATCTTTCCAGTCAGGTTGAGGTCTGGACTTTGACTGGGCCATTGCAGCATCTTGCTCCTTTTCTTTTTTTAGCCATTCTGTTGTAGATTTGCTGGTGGGCTTGGGATCACTGACCTGTTTCATGACCCAATTTTGGCCAACAGACTGTAACTATTGGACAGATGGTCTCACATTTGACTCTAGAATACTTTGGTATATAGAGGAATTCATGGTGACTGCAAGGTGCTCAGGTCCTGTGGCTGTAAACAAGCCCAAATCATCATCCCTCCGCCTCCATGCTTAACAGTTGGTATGAGGTGTTTGAGCTGATATGCTGTTTTGGTTTTTGCTAAACATGGCACTGTGCATTTTTGCCAAACATCTTCACTTTGGTCTCATCTGTCCAAAGGACATTGTTGCAGAAGTCTTGTGGTTTGTACGGATGCAATTTTGCAAACCTAAGCCATATTGTCATGTTCTTTTTAGAGAGAAGAAGTTGTCCCCTAGCAACCTTTCCGAACAAACCATTCTTGTTTAGTCTTTTTCTAATTGTACTGTCATGAACTTGAACATTTCACATGTTAACTGAGGCCTGTAGAATCTGAGATGCAACACACTCTCTCTTTTTTTTTTCAATTCCTCTGAGCATTGCACAGTCTGACCTTGCTGTGAAATTGCTTGGACTCTATTCCTGGGAAGATTGGCAACTGTCTTGAATGTTTTTCGCATGTACAGTAAATAATCTTCCTGACTGGAGAATGATGGACTTTAAATTGTTTGGAAATGGTCTTATAACCTTTCCCAGATGGATGGGCAGCAACAATTGCTCCTCTAGGATCATTGCTGATGTGTTTGCACAGACCTGAATTCTCCAGACCTACAAACACCTAAAACTCCAGCTTTTATAGAAGTGGTCACACTTGCTGATGATCAATTACTCAAAGGCATTTGGTTAGCAGCACCTGGTTACTACTTAGTCTCTTAATTTCTATCGAGAGAGTAAGAGTGTACTTAGTTTTTCACACATGGCTTCTCCATTTTGGCTTTATTTTTGTTAAATAAATCATGACACGGTGTAATATGTCATGTGCTGTTGTTCATCTGAGATTGTATTTACCTAATTTTCAGACCTGCTAGATGGTTTTTATTGTGTTCTGATATATAAAACCATATAATTCAAAGAGGGTGTACTTTCTTTTTCACATGACTGTAGTTAACTGTTGCTTTCACAATACTTTTTCTCTTAATTTTGTACCACTTTCATCTTATTTCCTTAGTAATGTCATTAATATTTTGAATAATTCTGCAGGGGAAAAAAAGCCATTCTTAAAAAATGGAGTGGGGGAGTTGATACCTGAAAACAGGAGACACACACAAATGCCAGCTCTCAAAATATAGGTTTTCTGTGCTCTGGCTTAGCTCTTTGCTGCTCCCTAGGAGTTTATATTGTTAAGCTCCTTAGGAGTAGCAAAAGCAAAAGGAACTCTATGGTTATTTGCCTCATTCTTTTTCTGCAAAATGTATATGGTTTGCAGAAAAACTAATTTACTTAAAAAATTTAATTCCTCACGTTCCTAAATCCCATAATTGGGGTGATGTTAGAGACAATATTTTTTTTAAAAAAAATTATTTTCCATTCAGATGTTGCAAACGTATATGTTCTGGTGGAATACTGGGCACTTGATGGGGAAATATGTTAACTGAACTTGAAATTAAAAGGCAGGAAACAGTGGGGGAAGAGAGCAACTTGGGCAGTAGCTATGTGGTGCAGGTGGTATGAGAAGGACACAGCAGACAGAAAAATAGAAGACATTTTTGTGATATTAAGAAGGAAAGACTGAGGGAAGTCAAGAATGGGTGCCTGGGGCAACAGCAACGTGAAAGCAAGAGACCCAAATATTCAAAAAAAGTTATTCCTATTGACAGATTTAGTGTCTGTTCCTAGAAGAGCCAAAGGTACAAGTCTGTTCTCAAGTGTGACTGAAGGCATGAGGGTGATTTAGGGACTTGGCTTTTCTAAAATGACACCTTTGGACAAGGAGGTGAGGCGAGGGCCCTAATGAAAAAGTAACTGTTCTATACCTGTTATTGTTTTGTTGAAATTATATTTATTCAGATATTAGAAACAATTGTTTTTTCTGGTATCATTGCTATAAGTGTTGACTTCTCTCTTACTGAACTTTACCCTCACTTTTTCTTTCTTTCCTGGCTACACCTGGGTTAAAAACTCATGAGTCTCATTCTCCACCCAGCTCTCAATTTTCTCTCCCATCACCCAAATTATTTCTTTCACACCCTGGGTCTCTCTTTTTCTTCCTCCCTCTCTCCCTGGTACCTATTCAGCTTCTGCCAGCCTATCAAAAGAGTCCACCAAATGCCTATGATAGGATGCTACCAAAAGCTAATTATCCTTGGGCCCAACTGTGGCGTCAGATGAATCGATTTTGAGATTTAACCAATCCAGTTACTTAAGTTATGAAATCTGTAGCATCCGTTTAAACATTTGTGTTTCTTCCTCTAAATATTTCAGAGATATTTTACAACAATAAACAAACAAGGCTGTGGGCAAACCAATTTCAAAATGTTATCAATCTTGTTCTTTAAGTTATTAAGTCAGTAGTATATGCATAGTCAATCAGTAGTAAATTTTGTGTTTCTCTTCCTGTGTCAGACTCTTTCAAAGCAAACCAACCAAATGATAAACAAAAGTGATTTTGTGGCAGTCAAATGTAAGGTAGAACCCATCAATTTATTTAAATTAGGACATATAGAGGAGAGAAGCTTAATCACTTTCACTCTGAAGTAATGATGTGGTTTCCTAATCTTGAGCCTCCAGATGTTCTTGGACTAAAACTCCCAGAACCTTTTCAGCACTAGCTGTGCTGGACAGCAGTTCCGGGAATTGCCATCCAAGAATACCTGGGGACTCAAGGTTGGGAACCACTGGCCTATAGCTTTGTAAAAATATCAAGTTCCATTTTATCTTCTACAGCAGTGTTTCCCAACCTTGGGTAACCACTGCTATAGACTCATAGAATTAATTGTAAAGGTGGAAGGATTCCATGAGTCATCAAGTCCAATTCCATGTCAAAATAATACTATCAATAATACCAGTAACTGGAAAAGTTCTGTTTTTTATTGCAGGTCCCCTAATTCTCCAGCCAGCATTTATTACTATAGCTTCATTGCTCTGTACACACTGTCTGGGGGCAGCTCTACAAACAGATTTCAACTTTTTTGCAATCTACCTAGGGACCAAGCATTCCCTCAATTGCAACATTTATCTTTTCTTTGCTCTTAATTCAACATTAAACAGTGACTATTTGGGAAAGTGTGTCAAACAGGGCTGTTTACCATCGGTCACCTTTTCATAGAGTTTTAACAGACTATGTCTTATCTAGTATAATATCAGGAGCCACAACCACAGACTCCTTCATAAAGGGTGTTTGGGCAGATAGTAGTAAAAGGACTTCCTGTCCCAGGAGCGTGTGATATGCTCTGTTTTCACAGATATCTGTAAGAAGTGCTATGGGCTTGCTATAAATTTCCAATTAAAAATGGGAAGAGGAAAATAAACTACAGAATCCCTTATTTGAGCTCCATTCTAGGAAAGTGAATGAAAGGAACTGACCCTTTCATTGCATCCTGCTTTATTTCCCTTTCTCCTGGGAAAAATCCTACAGCAAAGCCATAAAAAAATGCACAGTTATTAACTGGATGACTCATGATGACAAGCAATGGAACAGCAGCATTATGAATCATCAATCTACAGAGAGGCTAGGCAGCTATTCCACTGCACGGTGGTGGGGAAATTAGATTTTCAGTGTTCATAGGGAGGAGGCCCCAAGAGCTGAAGGGGGAAAATTAGGAGGATAATATTTTTCTCAGGGTACCATGCATAGGATACCATGCAGATATCCATTATATAGTGAACAACAGGACAATTCCATGATGTATTATGAGTCCCTATTCTTCCGACAGTGAGCAGAGCACTCATGGTCCATCTGTGGTGTCCTGTGAGCTCCAATTTTCCTTTTCACCAGCTGGAGATCGTCCCTGTCAATTTCAGCAGAACTTAGACATCTGCAAGATGGTACTAGTTATCCTCTTGTATAAATTGCAAGGGAAAAAAAAACAAAGCCAACCACTTGCCAATCAGAGTGTTGCACAAACAGAATGGTTCAACAGGATTCTACTTTCCATTTGAAACAATTATGCTTTTTTCATTCACTTTCAGAGTGACATCATGAGCAAAGTGGTCTCCTTGCATGTTTGTAGACACTTTTCAAGGATCTGTTCAAGCTCCCCCGGTCAGCCATAAAACCCACAGGATCTCACCTTATACTAATAACACTTTCTCTTTCAGCCTGATCCATTTTCCAAGGTGTCTGAGAGATAAAACGGAGCAGAAGCGGGTCATGTGCACTGCCTTGACCGCGCTGGGAAACGGGTGGGATAGAAAACTTAACAAACAGTTTAGAAAAGAGATAAGAACTTGCCACATGTAATGGAAAGGGACATCTGCTGGATGAGTTGTGGTGCCTAGTATAATGCTGTTGCCTTAATAAGTGCTACTTCCTGAATAAGTCTGATTTGAAAAGAAACATTAATTTGACTCATATTAATGTTTTCTAGTTAAAACTTTTTGCAATTGAAGTACTTGAAACTTATTCATTGAGCTCATGGCTGTTGGAAAAGAACTGTAAGGTAACCAGAAACCAGTAAAAGTGTATTACTGTTTGCAGAACTTCTAGTTTAGGGTCATTCCGGCAACTTGGGCTTATGTATTTCCTCTTTTCTCCTAAAACAGAAGCAAACAAACAGCAGTCATAATTATCCAGCACAACTACTTCAGGACCCAATACGAACTACCATTTGTTCAACATACTGGTAGTTCGTTCATGCATTCTAATCGTTAAGACTTTCAGATTCCCCTGGAGGATGCACAGCATAAGGCAGATCTTTAAGTCTGCAAATCTGGAAATAGCTTTCAAGAGAATGCAAAATAATATTTAAAAAAAATGAGGGTGTGGAAGGTTATATTTCCTAGAAGTATTTTATAACAAAAATAGTAAAATAAAATAGTAATATATACAATGTGTTGTTACTATTATTATTTTGAAGCAGGTGATGTGTTAATCTCATTTAAAGGATCACATAACATTGGTATTGTCGCTTGTTAGGTGCCAATTGAAAATGGAGCACCAAACTTCTCCTGAGGGGCTTGATTAAATCTAGAAATAATAATTAGCAAACAAGAGTGTGTGCTATTCCTGGGTGAAGATCTTTAACACCATCTGTGATGGTGATTAATTCCATCACAATGGTAGTGTCAAAGGCCAAGGTGATTGGATTCACACACACACACACACACACACACACACACACACACACACACACACACACACACACACACACACACACACACACACCCCTAATGCATTTCCAGTGCTGAGTTCTAACCACATACCTGGAGGAATGTCCTCTTCTTGTTGTGACTGATGAACCGCAAGAGACCCTGGGAAAACTTTGATGAAACTAGGCTCCATTACTCCTTAGAAAACAGAAAGCTTTGGGTTTAATTCTCATGGTGCACTTAGGAAGACAATACAGACAATGACGCTCTTCCTGAATGTGGGAACACCCCTTTGGCCATGTGTATGAGTGGGACGTCCCTCTCCACCAATCCATGTTTCGGTTATGCAGGCCAGGTCTGCATCTTCCTCCAGAATAAGATCATAAATTAGCTGGGTTTTGTTAGATACAGACCTGGCGTTCAACAACACCAGGCGTAGAGTAGAGGGTCGGCTGGTCTGACTACCTCGGCACTGGAGGTTGGTCTCCATCTCAGAACAAGGAACAGCCTTTAACAAGGAACTGCCAACCTAGCAGTTCAAAAGCATGTAAAAATGCAACTAGTTAAATAGGTACCACCTCAGTGGGAAGGTAGTGGCGTTCCATGTCTAGTTGCACTGGCCACATGACCACGGAACCTGTCTATGGACAAACGCTGGCTCTACAGCTTGGAGATGGGGATGAGCACCATGCCCTAGAGTTGGACACAACTGGACTAAATGTCAAGGGGAACTTTTACCTTTACCTATGAGTTCCATATAGACTAAAAATATAAGCAGTAGCTTTGTATAAGTGCAACCACACTGAGGTGGCTGCAACCTTAAAGAAGTGATTGCAAGGTTGTGCAGAGGTGTGACTCTGGAGTAAAAAGTGTGCAAGTTACTCCTGGTAAGGAGACCACGTTAGGAGAAACAAAGGAAATAAGCTTTACTATAGTTAGTTCACGTCAGAGCAGGATAGTTACTTAGGACATTACTACATGCTGAAGAGGAAGAGTCCTAGAGGAGGGATGGGAGCAAAGGCATTGCTAACCTCATGGGCATGCATCATAGAGGGATCAGGCAGGACTGAAAAGCAACAGAGGAGACTCATGGAGCAGAAGAGGAACCATCTGGATTCACCCCAGCTGTTCTCATAAGTCTTCTTGAACTTTGTGCCAAATGTTGGTGCAAAATTCTTCCAGCATCCATAAACTGAAGATAACCTATCAGCAGTGATCCTGCTATGATAAGATTCTGGACTCCATGAGAGACACTTTAAATATTTGCCCTCAGTCAAGAGGCAGCCTAGTGCAAATAGTCCTTGATTGTTCAGGGATCCAAACGGAACTCAAGGCAGGAAACAATGCTGTATGAATGATGAAAGACTTTCACACCAGGCTTTCAAACTGAAACAGGCACAAATTCTTAACAGAATCCTGAGGGGAATATATTTCATCATGATAGTCATAAACCCGAACAAGAACACACATATAAAAATGGGGTTGACAGTAAGAAAAGGGTTGAGAGGAATGAGGCAGTTAGTCACCTGGATTAAATTAATGACTGCAATGTCTGAGGAGAAAGTAGAATAAATATGGCAGAGGGGGAGACATTAGATCTACTTTAATTATAATATGCATACATTTTTGTTAACCCAAATATCAACCTGTTCTTAACTGTAACCTTTTCATTTTAATGCCAAGAGCCAATTGTTTTTATAACCCTCAATTTTGTTTCATCCCAGTGCAAGAGTGTGGATAAAAATAGGCACAATGACTAAATCCTCAGGAAAATGAAATCATATAAAAATTATCTAGCAAATTATCTAGATCCATTTCAGTCTGGCTTGAGGCCTGGTTACAGAACAGAGACAGCCTTGGTGGATGACCTACACCAGGAACTGGACAGGGGGAGTTGTGTCCCTGTTGGTTCTGCTGGATCTCTCAGTGGCTTTCAATACCATCAACCATGGTATCCTTCTGGAGCACCTTTGTGGGATGGATCTTGGAAGTACTGGGAATTACTGAGGAGTTCTGATTTTTCCTGAATGGGCAACTTCAGAAGGTGTGTGTGTCTGTGGAGGATGGGAAATTCTGTTCAACATCTTGGCCATTGGTCTGTAGTGTTGTTCAGTTGTATCCCCCATGTTATTCAACATCTACATGAAACTGCTGAGAGAGGTTGCCTGGAGTGTTGGGGTTCGGTGCTATCAGTATGGTGATGACACCCAATTCTATCTCTTCTTCCCATCTGATTCCAAGGAAGCTGTTCTGTGCTTAGACCAATGTCTGTTGTCAGTGATGGACTGGATAAGGGCTAAAAAAACCCTGAAACGTAATCCAAATAAGACTAGAGGTGCTTCTGGTCATTTACAAGGCGATTCAGTGGATAGCGATTTGGATTGTACTGGATGGGGTTACAGTCACCCTGAAAAATCAGGTCTGCAGCTTGGGTGTGCTCCTAAACTTAACCCTGAGCTTGGATGCATGGGCTTCAGTGGTGGCCAGGAGTGCATTTGCACATTTAAAGCAAACGTAATCCAAATAAGACTAGAGGTGCTTCTGGTCATTTACAAGGCGATTCAGTGGATAGCGATTTGGATTGTACTGGATGGGGTTACAGTCACCCTGAAAAATCAGGTCTGCAGCTTGGGTGTGCTCCTAAACTTAACCCTGAGCTTGGATGCATGGGCTTCAGTGGTGGCCAGGAGTGCATTTGCACATTTAAAGCTGCCCATTCGCCAGGAGTGCATTTGCACAGTTAAAGCTGCGGTGCCAATTATGCCCATTCCTTGAGATGTCTAATCTGGCCATGGTGATACAGGCCTTAGTTATGTCCCATTTAGATTGCTGCAAATGTGCTCTACATGGGGCTGCCTTTTAGGAGTGTTTGGAAACTTCATCTGGTTCAGAATGTTACAGCCAGGCTGCTGACTTATACAGCCCTGTACGGTTTGGATCCATGCTGTCTGAAAGATTGTATCACCCCATATGAGCCTTCTCGGCTTTTAAGATCTTCTGGGGAAGCCCTTTTCTCAGTTTCCACAGCCTTTGCAAGCTCTGTTTCACTTCCACAATGGGATTTCCCTCAGAGACATGTTCCTCAGCAATCACGTTTGCTAGGTGAGCCTATTGTTTCCTTCCAGTGACCAAGTCCAAAAGAAGGCACATTAAACACTGAATAGAGAGAGGAGGAAAGAAATATTTTGCAGATTTCTTTCACCATTTGAGGAGGTTCCTCTTCAAGAAATATGCGAAGTGTAGCATCTAGCTTGATCATAGTTGCGGTCACATGGAATGTGCACGATTGCTACCAAGTCCAAAAGAAGGCACATTAAACACCGAATAGAGAGAGGAGGAAAGAAATACTTTGCAGATTTCTTTCACCACTTGAGGAGGTTCCTCTTCAAGAAATATGCTAAGTGGTAGCATCTAGCTTGATCACAGTTGCCATCACATGGCATGTGCACGATTGCGGATTAAAAGGATTACAGTAGAACAATAGGAACTTGTGTTACTGTTACTGCCTCAAGAATCTCGTGTTAGGTTTGGGTAGCACAAAGCACCAAACAAGTGAGAGAATGGCTACCTTGGGCTTTTCTCATGGTCAGTTTGTCGATATGCTGCCTTCCCTCAACTCAAAATCCTGCTGATTTTTTCCACATTTGTGCCTTTTCAGGGCTGCTGATGCTCTGAAGGCAGGCAGGTAAGCTGGTCAGCCCAGAAATCAAGGTACTAGAATCAAAAGCTTCATAGAACTGCTGCACATAGCCTCACAGGCCTTATGTGTCACCTTTTCAATTGGTCACAGCAGAACTGTCACCCTTTGACAGCCTGCAGTGCACCAGAAAGCTCTCTTGAAGCTTCTTCCACGAGCAAGCTACCATGGGGATGCAGTAAGGGCACTTAACACTCAGAGGCTTGAAAAGCTACTGTTTTAGGCTACAGTTCCCAGAACTCCCCAGCCACTGATCATGGTGGCCGATGGATTCTGGGGACTGTAGTCCCAAAAAGCAACATTTCCAGGCCCTGCATGGGTCTTCCCACCTGAGTCCTTGGTTTATAAACCTTATTTTCTGGTGTGACGGTAACCAGTAGAGTCAAATTGGATGCCTTGGGGAAAAAAGCATTTCTTCCTTCACTGTATGAGCTTATCCTGGAATGGAAACATTAAAACCCTAATTACTTGTTCCTGTTTTTTTCCCATTTACTTTGGGCCTTGAGAGTTCTGTGATCACATCCTTTTTCTGTTATTGCTTTAGAGTAGCTTCCTTCAAAAAATAGTGGGAGATAAGGTTCCCCCCCCAAAAAAAAACCCCAAGAGCTGTCACATAGGGCTTCCCTGGTCCCTCACCCACCCTGGTCTTCCTTGTCTCTAAAATGTGGGGGGGGGGGGAAGAGAGAATGAAAGCAAGCAAGATATTAACAATTTCCTGCCCTCTACTGCCCTGACATTAGTAAGACAGAGCTTGGAACACAACAAATGTTTAACCATTGATTAAAACTCCACCAAGTACATAACAGACTTCTCACCCACCCCCACCCCCACAGAATGCTAAGATATGTGATCCGATGTGCTGTTTCACACTGCCCACTTCCTTTCTTGGCAGGAAGTGACAAGGCAGCATCTTCACAAGGTTAATTTGTTTCTAGATCAAACAATACCAATGATATATGGTGCCCTCGGTAATGAGCTCTAAAAATGCATAGATTGAGCAGATGGGAAGGAAGCATAGATACATGTTGTGCTCAGCCCTAAAACAGCAAACATATTTAGGCTATATGACCCCCTGCAAAAACTCACACAAAGAAAAGAGCTCTATAGCCCCATACCTGTTGTCACATCCATTGTCCTCGTACATACTACAAGGTGATGGGTTTGAAGACAGACGGCTGTCTGTAGAGATTTTTCATATGAGTCGAAGCTGTGGGGGGTTGGGAAGAGTTCTGGTTCACATGGTGAACTCTCACAAACAGTACTGGTTTTGGGGACAGTGGGGGCGGGGAGGTATGCTATTCTGTGGTGATAGCCTCTTCAAATGAGCTTTCTGAACAGGTTACAATGTCAGAACAGGGCTGATACCTGACCATGACCTAAAAGGTTGTTTCTGTCTGCAAGAAACCCATTCAGCAATTTTCTTCAGTTTTTTCTTAAACTTGCCTGTCCTCATTCTGTAAATGATCAAGCCATTATTCTCATTCATATTGCAAAGGTAGGGTTTCAAGTTGATTTTACAAAAAGACTGACTTGATGAGTCCTCAAAGGTCCCATTCTTTTGTTGGGGCAAACAGTGGAATATAAATAAATAAAATGAAAAAGGAATGAATGAGAGAGGCCATAAAGTGCAGCTTTGTCTGGACAAGCTCACTTAGTACTGAAACTAATAGGATGGACTCAGTCCAGTCCTGAGCTCTTAGTTCATCCTTCACAACAAGTTGTAAATAGGGGTGTGTAAGAATTTTGTTCAGATTCATTTTTTTAAATGATTTATCAAAATTAACACTTTTCCCATAATGGAGACAGAAAGTATCTAAGAGTTTTAAAATAAAATGTAATATTGGAGACACCAAAACTGGGTAAGTCCTGCAGGCCTAGGACTTTGAGTGCGTAGCTCTTAAAAATCTGGGTTTTATTTCTTGTGTATTCTTTCAGAGTAATGTTGATTTAGGATCACCTCCCCCCACCCCCGGAAAACTGTTCATCTTCAGCAGCTGCTTGGTAGCCATGTAATACATGATCCTCTCCATGCTGGAATAGCTCTTCCTTTTAAATTTGACCAGTACTGATATGTGAGTTTCCTTTCAGATTGATTATGATCAGAGCCTTTCAAATGTGCAGATTTCTTCATATTCAGAAAACAATTGAGTTGGGAAAAAATTGATGGTGGGATAAAGAGAAATTGACAAATTCATTCAAATCTATTTGTGATAAGAAACAAAATGAAACAAACCAGCACACCAGCCATGAAAGCCCATCAGAACCTCTGGAAGGAAAGTTGGTATACATATTGCAAAACAGAATAAAGACCCACTTATTGTTTCTCATTAACTAATATTCCATGCCAGAACCTGGAAATAGAAATCCACGTCCTTTCTTGGCAAACAAATGAACAAACATTTATAGTATGCACAGTCCATAACATTGTTTTTTGTTTCTATGTAGGAACTAATGAATAAGTTCATTTTGGGTCACAATATGCACAACAGCATGTGGAACTGCAGTTTTATTGTGGAGGATAAGTCATCTTTAAAGGCATAGCTCTTATCAAATTGTTCATAGGATTAATTTTTCCGAGTGTCATTGTGCAGACATAAGATGTTCAGGGCAAAGGGGTTGCAAACCCCAGAAAAATGAAAGTCACTTACTTTGCAGATGTCCCCAAGAAATCTGGATTGTTTGCTTCCTACTGACAAAAGAGACAGAAACCTCAAAAATCACGCCAAGTAACAAAATGCCTGGTGGTAAATAAAATAAAATAGTAAAAAAGTAAAATATCCCGGCATACTTAATCGTATCAACTGTTCAAACAGGATGCTTAAAAAGGAGCAAGCCAGAAGTCAGTGTGAAAAACAACTTCCTGGTTTTGTTCTAAGCTTTCGAGCTTAAACACACAAACACACAGCAACATGAAAAGGCGGGCTGAATGGCAGTACAACTGCTGTTTTTGTCTATAAGCAGCTACGTATCAGCATACCCCTGTGAAAACCCAGAAGGACACTCAAGAAATCCTTTTATAAGGACCTACCTAGATTCCTTTCAAAGCAAAATCTTTAGAGTTGAACTGCAGCATTCAATATGTTCTGTTCCCTCAGAGCAGTTTTGCCTTCAAAATGTTGTCTTCACATTTGGAGAAGAGAGAACGGAAGTTAATACATGTCCTTCCTAGAGGTGATATTTCAAAAATGAAACTATTCTACTTAACATATTAGTGTAACTCATCTGTCCCTGTTGAATACGAATGTGTCTTTCTGTGGTGCAGTACCTTTTTTAATGGCAACTGCCCCCAAAATTTCATTGCCCCTGTATTTTTTTTTCCTCATGGAGGAATTTTGAGGTTACTTTAAAAACAAGCACGGAGGGGGGCGGGTCACAAACTGTTAATTTGGGTGCACATTTGCTCAAGTCCTTTAAGCGTTGCTCTCTCAGCTCTGCTGTTCCACCCTAATCCAGCCACACTTTGTAATGGGGAAGGGGTGTGGGAAAGGATTATATGAAATGTGCTATACCCAAACTGGAGCAAATGGAAGAATAAACATAGGCAGATAGATAATGAAATGATAGGGATGTTGTGGCTACTTCTAGGGTAGCAGTCTTGCCCCAGAATTACTTGCTCATCTGTGTTATTATATGAAATGGTCACGAGAAATGTACTTTGCCATGTGATGAGGTCATGTCCAGGGGCTGCTTTTAACTAAACCAATACTGTGACCAAAAAGGCTTCCAGAGCAATCAGCCCCTGTTTGTTAAAAAAGACATCAAAGTGGTGGATTTGGCGGTGGAAGGAGGGTGCTGGAGCCAATAATATTAGCCCTATCTCTGAGCTCAATGTCAACATTGAGAAATGGGACAGGTATTTCACAACTGGCTGTGCATTATTACTAGCCCAGTTAGTAAAAATCACATTTTAGCAGAGAATCCGAACAGAGATATGAAAAGGACCAGACTGATCATTATCTGGCAGCCACTACCAGTCCTCTACCAGATTCTGCAAAGGTTGTGCCTAAAATCTACCAGGATTCATTTCAGCTGCCCAAACACTTCCCCACTTGAAGTCACCATGCTCTGTATCACTGTATTTTGTGTATGATTGCAAAAGGAAAAAGAGGAAGACACTTTAGGGAAACACAGGAGGGCTACAACAGTAAGACTGCAACAACCAGGCCCCCTTGAATGAGGCATGGTAGTTGTACTCTAAAAAACTGATCTGGTACCATCGTTAATTAATGTACTGGGGGCCAGAATTTGGAAAATGAGGCACATTCTCCACTTCAGATAAAGTGGGAGAAGTTTGAATGGTTTGGTTTGGTTTTTAATCTTCAACGGCTCCCACATGTTATCTCTAAATCCAGCAGGCACTATCACCAAACTGAAGAATCTGACCACAGAGCCTCAGAGTCTGATCTTCCAGATACCTGCCAAAATGTGTAGTTTGTTTAAAAATGCAGCAACAGCAACATAATACTTTAGCCTGCCAGACTTTGCTTCTTTTTTCCAAAAGATGGCACAACTTTAATACTCTGGTCTAATAAACATGCAATCTGGTCATTTAGACGTCTGACTGTAACTAGTGAGGCAAATACATGATGATGGTGTTGTTCATCCACACCAGAGAAGATTTCAGTTTTCTTTACATGTTGGAATTTTGCACTTTTGATGCTTTGAGTAATGTTCACGTTTATCACCACCTGGTGGCTAAACAGAGAATAATTTATTAACAACCAGATGAGAGCCAGTATAATGTAGCTAGTAGAGAGATAGACTAGGACTCAGAAGTGGTTTCCTGTTCCCACTTGGCCATGGAAACTCACAGCAGTGGTGAGGATAGTAAATCCAGTTGTCAAATATCTCACGTACCTTCAAAACTCTATCAGGATAGCCATAAGTCATCTGTGACTTGACATGACACAACAATATGGAATAATATCAGGCACGGGCAGTGGCCCGATAGTGAGTCAGAACATTGGCCTGTCTAGCTCAGTACTGTTTATATTGCCAGGAGTTCTTCAAGGTTGCAGGAAAGAGATCTTCCCAATCCTTCCAGGAGATGCCAAGGATTGAAACCAGGACTTTTGTATGGAAACATGTTCTCCTGCACTGTGATAGAGTCTTTACCAAACAGGAAGACACGGACATCTTAAAGAGAATTAAAAACTAGGTTCTTTACCCCATACTCCTCGGTCTGTTCTGAATAGTCTTCTTGCAGGTTTCCTTCTTAACAGAAGCTTTAGAAAGGCAAAATATGCACTTACTGTATTAAAATAAAATAGGTTTGCCAACAAAATGGTATGCTATTACAGATTTTTCTTTTAAACTTGTGCTCTAACCAGATCTTGAAAAAGTTACATTTTGGAGTACAACCCCCAGAATCTTCCAGATAGCATGGGTTCTGGGAGCTACAGTCCAAAAAAGCAACTTTTCCAGCCCTGGCTCTACACAGAAACTTGGCCATCCCTGTAAATTGTAATTCCTTACGTAAATCTATATGCTGCCGAGGCATAATGTGACGAGCTTCTTCTACAAGGATGTGAAACTAAAAGAGGATGCTGAAAACTCAGGAAACAGAAGAGACCTGATACTCAGTGCTTTCTATCCTAGCCTATGATCCCATAACAGCGAAATACCTCAATCGGGAAGTGACATAAAGGGCAAGACACCTCCTTAGATCAAGTTGGAGGCTCTGCAAATGGCTGAAGATCCCTGTGGGAGAGAGACATGGAAAAAATCTGAGCCCTGCTTCCATCCTGAATGTATGCAGCGTAAGACGATGATTCCAAGACCATGGGAGTTGGGATGTGGGAGACTTTAAAGAACATATTAATGATTAATATTTGAAACAAAAGGGACTGTAGTTAAATAATTATTGGTTCTCACATACAAATCACATAGGGGAGTTCAATGTAAAGTTCAGGAATTTAGCCAGCAATGTTGCTTAGAACTTCAAGAGTGGAGCGACATCAACCCTGTTCAGGACTTATTGTACCAAGCATAAGCAACATGATTAGAGGGGAACACCCCACCTCTCTACTGCTTCTTTCCCCATATGAGCAGCAGTGAGTCTGCAAAGAAGAGATTCCTGCTCACATGTAGGCTTTATAGCTAATCAAGAACCCAGATTTCCTAGGGTTTTTGCTCAAGTGTAGAGTCTACCATGAGCAGGAACCTTTCCTCTTCAGACTCACCACTGCTCACATGGAAAAAGCAGTGGGCCACTGTTAGTCCCTCTCTTCTCATTGTGTTTCAGTAATATGTAAGCAGAACATTATATATGGAATGAATGGAGATCACAGACAGACAGACAGATAGATGGTCAGTTGAACATCTGTCTATGAACTTGATACTTGCACTTCCACAAGATATAAACATGACTTCTAGGGCTTCTTGGCCAATTTCCAGATAGACTACAACAGTAAGATTGCATTATGGTAGAATGCATGTATGTTACTTTTGTACAGCAAAAATAAACAAATGAATATACTCATCATTTTTTCCACTGACTTCGAACTCGGCTCACATAAACCTCTACTATAAACCAATCTTTCCTCAAAACAAGAACTATGTCTTTCCTCAACAGACGTTACTTAAACATCAATGAAAACAGAGTTTTAAAACAGTAAAGACTGTTCAGACGTTTCTTTAATGCCTCACAGAATGGTATGACAAAAGCACAGGATTTCTTTTAAAGCTCAGTCTTGAAGTACCAAGTAAAGAAAATTGCATTATTGTTTTAACACTGATGTCCCTGCTGCCTTCTGGCACTACACATTTCATCAGACCTGTCCTAGTGTTCAGCTTTCCAGAGACAGGCCAGGGAGCGCATAGTTATACACCATGAAAGATGACTAAGGCAAAAGGGATCAGGCTGTAACAATTTAGATTTTCCCTTTGCTTTCTCAGAGAACAGAAATAAGTCAGCTGGCATGTGGCTTCTTGGCCAGTTATAAGAGTCCCATACCTGCCTCACCCGAGGAGTATGTAGAGAAGTTCGGTTCCAAGGAGCTTGAATGTTGTTTGGAAGTGGCAATATGCCATCCAATCGGATTACACTTGCAGTGAAGACATCTCTGATACTGAATGGCTAAGCTATTCTGACAGCCATGAAATGTTCAGCCGCTCAAAGCTGTTTGTAGTTCAGCTTCAGTTGAGGAAAGCGAAAGTAATACTTTGGCTGGAATTAAACTCCCACATGTGGATGGTATAAAGAAAAGTAGTGGCCCCAGGAAAGCAGGGGAATAAAAGAAAGGAGCAACAGAGTGTAGAATAGATATTTGGAGGCAAAGGAGGGAAGATACATATATTTGGGGAAACATTTTCCCCCATTGTTCCTTCCTCCAAGGAATTTTGTGGGACACTGGGGGGGGGGAAGTCTCTGAAATATTTTCTCTTTTGCAATGTGTAAAATGCCTTTCAAAATAAAGTTTTGCTCATTCAAAATGTGTCATGCGACGCCTCATATGTAAGGCAACCAATACCCCAGGGAATAACTCCTCTACATATTGTAGAGTTCTAATATTTTCAGCGCTGTTATATATAAAGAGAGAGCAATAGTCTGGCAGTCCTTAATATTGTGTCTAAAAAAGCACTTTCCTTCATTTACTATAACATTTGTGGTTTCTTTTCCCAACATTTTACTCTTTCTGTCTCTTTCTGGTAAAAAAAAAACAAGGTACAGGTAATTTAGATAACATAAGATGCTGCAGTTTGCATCACTGCACTGACAGTTTTTCCTATACAAAACAAAGGTATTTATACTTTTCAGATGTTCACTTGCCTGACAGTAACATAAACAAAGTAGCCCTTTATTACTTGTGTTAGATGGCCTAAAAATATTTAAATACACTTGCTCTTACATTAACAATGTAAACAGTTATAATTGTATATGTATTTTATATTGTTATAGTAGCATAATGCATGTAGGTTTGATAAGGAAGTGTGAATGTATTTTAACTTCTATCCACAATGTTCTTGTCCAGGGGTGGAGACAGAAAGACATTCCCCCTATTTTCGTCCCATAGCTTGAAAATAACTGAACATTTTACATATAATACAAGCTAAAAGACGAGAAAGAAACTTAGGCAACTCATTCAGAGTTCTGAAAAGGAGATAGAGAATTGAGACAACCTTGACATCCCAAGCATCAAGAGATCTTAAATCCTAGAGGGACATACAGTATTTTAGTTGCCCACAATTCACACACACAAAAAGCCAAATCTGTGAGCATATTAACAGTACAGCCTTGAAAATAACCAATTCTTTCATGTGACTCCACATTTCATAGCAAGACAATTAAGCGATAAATAGCCCATCTTCCGATTATTGCTTGTTCACCACTAATGACATAATTTTTGTCATTTCTGATAAGCTTCTTATGTGTAAAAGCTAGAGTTTTAGTGAATTGTTTGGATTGCTGAGGGGATTGTGTCACTCGCTGTATCACTGTGACCAGCATCTCACCATTCAGAAATAAGGGACAGCGACACTCCAACCATCCCAAGCACCCTTGAGAAAAAAAGAGAGAGACTATAAAAGAAAACCTACTTTAATCAAATTAAGCAGCCATTTCATCTAACATTCACAGTGTATTCAGTGGAAGTAATACTGAATGGTAAAAGGGCAATGCATAAAAGAAGGCAATACCTTCCAAAGATATATACAAGAATTTGAGAACATAATTTCAGAAACAAACAAATGCAACAAATCAAAATATGTATATATAAAGGAAGGTGTAAAATAGATTAATGGACACAGATAACCTACATATGTCTAAATCAGAGGTATATCATGATGGCTGCAAACCTTCTGTGTAGCTCTGCATTGTGTACGAGTTGCATGCCCCCCAAAATTGCCAAAAGGGAGCCTTTACTCAATGGCAATTTGCTGCTCTTGCTGCTGATGCTGACATCATTCCTGTAGTGCATGCAGAGCTGTGCAACAGGATTTCAGCTAGTGTATTAGACAGAGGAAAGTGTGAAGTACACTCTGAAATATAATGGAGGGGAAATACTTCAGATGGATCATGGATACGTGCCACCTCATAGTAACGCACCTTCCACAGTCAATCCAGCCTTTGCCCATTCCTAGATGTTAATAGGTCTATATTATACCTAGAAGCCTAGCAAACTTAGAAGTCTAGAAAACTTAGCATACAGCATTTTACAGGGATCAAAGCATTTCATGTACATTTTTCTTAGTAATCCTCACAATGCCCACGTATGGTAGGTCAGTATTGTTATTAAACACATGTTGTAAATGCGGATCTGAGGCATGCTTGAAGTCACCTAGTGAATTTGTGGCACATATCAAATATGGAGAACTCAGCAATAAGCAAATTATTTGAATTAAATGAGCCACAAATATTTCTTCATCAGATTCCTCTCACCACTGTAATGAATTGAAATTATATTATCCACAAACAGAACAAGGCATTTTTGTTGAATATAGAATACTGGAAACCATTGTCCTGTGGATCAGATGAGAATAACCTGGGTATTTCAAAACATGAAACTACATTTTCAAAGAAAAACACCGGGTGTAAAAAGCATACAAAAGTTACATGGTGAAAATGCTAATGAATGAAGGGATACCATCATGCATGAGGCAAAAGAAAGAATGGCAAAAGAGGAAGAAGGCAAAATGATGATTTCCTCCTCTCTTCCCTAAAATAAGGAAGATGTGAAGATCCATAGCATCTCAAGAGATCTCCAGATCACTCAACATTCTTGTATTTTGTGAACAGGTTGTATAAAACCCTTAGGGTAGATTTCAGATCCAAGTTGACAACATCTGTGGGATAATAATAACAAAAAAAAAGAGACAGACATGTTTAGGTTGTTTTAACAGGTCTTCTTTCAGAATACGAAAAACAATCTTCTGATGCACAAGCTTTTAAAGAGCTGAACAGAAACCTAGCCCAATTCCCTTGATAAATCACTCAGAGAAACATCAACTACAAAACTCTCCTCAAAAAACTCACTTAGGAATGGCTAAGGAATTCTGATCTATCTCTAAACTGAATAAACAATTATCAGAATAATAAACTGTCATTTCTAAAGACCTGTTATGAGATTCAAATACTTAAGACTTTGAGAAAATAGTTTCAGAATATATTTTCACATAACCTGCTTTGTTTTAATTAATCCACCAAACTAAGTATTTTTTGGTCATGGGTAAACCTACATTTACCATATGAGGAACTATATCATGAGCACACAGACTACATTCCAGAAGTTTCTTCCCTCTTCTATTCAAGAGTTAATGTGCTAGAAGAGGAACAATAGCTCCTGCTAAAGTTGTCACCCCATAAAGAAGCATTATCCACAGGTTTCTGTCATAAGGGCGACAGTTGTCCTATGGCAATACAGAATTGGCAAATTAGTGCTTTTGTTTTAAAACAGCAGTCTTGTACAGAACAATTTATATATTGCACAAAAAGCAAAATGCGACAGATTAAGATGCTCAAAAATAATCAGAAAATGTTCCAAGTTTAGAGATGAAACTTCATGGCACATCACCGTCTCTTGTTATCTCCACTACCTGTCTCTCAAGGATGTGCATCACTTCCATGCTATGGTAAACACATTTACAGAACCAAACTAGAGCGAAGGGGACACCACCTGCCTGCAAAGGTGAACAGCTTAACATGTGCCTTTAGTACCACAGGCACTGGTAAAGATCATGACACTCTATTTGGTATAGGAAGATCTAAAGGATGAAGGAGGTTTTAGGTTTTAAACTTTTGTTTCAATATTTTTAGCACTTTTAGGAAAGATAAATACAATATACTGTTCAAAGAACTTACTGCTTTATGTATGTGTGAAAGTGTATTTCACAAAAGGTGTATTTCACAATTTCTAGCCCATGTTTTTGGGACAGGTCAACTTCTATTAATGTAGATGCTTAGCCCATGAATTTATTCTCTGTTGTTTCCTCTTTTCCTTTTCTTTCCCCCAACATATTTTCATTTCTCACTCTTTTTTGTATATGTTGTATTTCAGAGTTTCTTTTTTTATAAAAATTCATGAGGCAGCAAGACAGAGAAGCTGTCTGAAAAGGAATTCCTAAAAGGAACTGTCTGAAGTTAGATGCTCAAAATAAATAAATAAATTTTTTTTTAAAAAAATCCAGCATCTCTAAAAATTTTCAAAGTGATTCAGGGGGGACGTCAGCATGTTCTTAGCCTTAAAATGAGTTTATAGGAGGCTGGTTTCAGTGAATGTGAGTCTAAGAGCAATAATTAAACTGTTCAATGGCCTCTAATAAGATATAGGAGGCAAGGAAAACTCTTTGGAATGTTCAGGCAATTGTAGGCACCCGGAAACACAAAGCCAGATGATGATGACTACACCTTGGGTCATCAAGAGGAATTATATTAACAATGTAGTCAGGAAATCCAGCCTTAGCATATATTTGATTGTTGCTTCCACAGTTCAACTATGGTACAGTATTGCCCTTCAATGTGTTAGTCTTGAAGTACAAGAGAACAGTTAAAATTGGGCTAAAAGGCTAGTTAACCTGTTTTTTAGTGTTCTTCTCAATGGAGCAAAGCAAATGATGAAACAGTGAGCATTTATTTTTTAACAGCTTCTAACTGTATGTTTTTTAAATGTAAAGAAAAGGTGGCATATTTTCCTTGATGTAATGATTCAGAGAAACCTCAACCATAGTTAAAGCTGTTTAATGAAAAGAAAACAAAAATCGAAGGACTATAACCCCTTTTAGACTCAACAGACTCATTCCCACATGAGCTTTCATGGACTGCAATCTACTTACAGTCATTGCCAAATATATTGGCACCCTTGCAGTTCTGTCAGAAAATGCCACCCACAGACAACTCTTTACACTTCATTCTTTTCTCCATGATCAGTGCCACACACAACACAAAGTCAACTTTTCTCCATCTTAACTGGTTGCAAGTGTGATTACTATACTGCCCACACCTCTTACTTGCAACAGATGTGTCTAAATACAAATTAAAGGAGCATCACATGCTTGACAAGAAATTATTTCTTACAATTTAGACAGGGTGCCAGTAATTTTGGCCAGTGCATTTTTGGGTTT